GTGTTGGGACATTCTTTTGAACAGTGGCTGCTTTGTTTCCCCAATGTATAACTGGTCGCAGTTCTCCTGGCACTTAACAGCACTTGACTTATGAATCGATCTTCCCAAATTTGAATGAAAATCGATCCAGATCGATTAAATCGATTTTTTTAAAACCAGCCCTATGTTTAGATGTGGTTAAAGGAAATCAAGGAAGAACTTTTACGTATTTTTCATTTTTGTTAGTTTTGTTTTGTTTTACAGTGCAGGTGCCGTTGAGTGTTTTTAATATTTTTTTTTTTTTTTTTTGTAAAAATAACCATTTGTTAAAGATTTGCTTTAAGCAGTACAACTTAGTTTGGATAAGTCCATAAAGCCCTTTTCATACTTTCCATTCATGTATAGATGATGGTAGGTGATGGAGTCGGTCCTTTCTGATCCAGCTGCGGGTTTTATTCACAAAACCAAATCTGTCTGCGTCTGTGTAACACATGGCCACTGTTTCACTGCTTTTTATAGCATAACACCGACTTGCTGGCTCTTGAAGTGGATGATTAAAGCAGAATGTGTCATGAGTTGTTAAAAAGTTGGTAACAAAAGTTCTGCTTTCTTTGTAGTCCCCACGGAAGCAGAGCTGTTCACACTGTATCCTGGGGATCGCCTGGATCTGAGCTGCTCTCCCAAGGACGCCTTCCACACTGTGAACTGGACCAAAGACCATGTTGCWCTTGTGGATGGAGAACACACTCGGATCCGCAACGGTCAGCTGGAGATTGAGACAGTGGAGCTGACCGACTCTGGCCTTTATGGATGCACAACTTTTGGCAACCATAGTGTCTACTTTAACGTCACAGGTAAAGGCATAGAAACTGGAATATCTAGTTTTTGTGGCTTTCTGTTGTCTTGAATATTTTTCTGCTAGTTGTGTACGCTCGACCATCAGGATAGTTATTCAGTACCTTAGTTACTTATTGTTGAGCTGTTTATTTAAAGGGGCAATATCATGTAAAATAGGGCTGCCACGATTAATCGATTAATCGACCACTAATCGATTATTAAAATAATCAATGACTAATTTAATAATCGATTAATCGCTTTCTTTTTT